TTGTTCATGGATTTCTGCCGCATTAATGAGCTTGTGGTTGTCAATGTTTGCTAAGGACCATAATCACCTTGCAACCTTTTTAGAAAACACCACCCAAATTGGAGCAGAAGTGATGGCAGAAAACACGGCACAAATCGACTTCTGGTTGACAAAAGCCTGTAGTAAGAACATGTGCCTCGATGCTCAAAGTAGGTTAGATATCTACATGAACTCAGACTATTATTTTGTCGAGTTGAAGTTCGATATGAAGCTAAAGGCCCCCCGCAAAAACCATCATCAAACGAAAAGGTTCTGCAAACCTACGCCGGAGCAGTTCAGAGCTTTTAATGACTGTTTGGACACTTTGCCTGTTCAGAACACAACAGACCATACAATGTTTAACAAATGTCTCACCGAAGCTGCAGACGGGTGTCTCTCTTTAGCTCCTTCTACCACCAAACGCCCGTACCTGTCACGATTAACTTGGGGATTAATTGAAGGGAGACACTGAATGCATAACGCTGGCGACCACGACAAGGTTTTAGAGCTTAATAGAGATGTCAGGCGTAGAGCGCGGGCTGATCGCAAAGCCTATGTGGCAAATCAGTTTAAGGATGACCCTCAAGGAGACCCCCGTCGCAAAAAGTTGTGGAAAGTGGTCAGCCATCTCCGCAAGGATTACAAACCAGCATACGTACAGATGAAAGACTCCGATGGTCGGCTGGTGCCTCTCAAAAACAGAGCTGATGCTATCGCGTCCTACTTAGAGACCAAGCACTGGGTCAACCCTATAGGCGTGCAACCCCTCACCTACAATGACCCCATAGGTGAGCCCCTGCAGTGTGAAGAGGCACCATTCACCATTGAAGAACTTGCAGCAGGCCTGAAGACTATGAAAGTAGGCAAGCAGCCGGGGCCGGACATGATCGTCGTGGAACTGTATAAATGGCTAGATCCCCGTAATAGATGCAGGTTACTGACCCTCCTTAACTATTGGTGGTCCCAAAATGAAATTCCTGAAGAGGTCCTTTGCGCCCGAGTTGTTCCAATATACAAACAGGGGAGTCCGGATGAAGCAGCTAATTACAGACCCATCTCGCTTCTAAATAGTATTTACAAGATTTATGTGACGCTGATTCGCACTAGGGTACAAACAGCTGTCGAATCCAAAATCTCTCCCACGCAGTACGGATTTAGACCTAATAGGTCAACAGCTCATGCCGCCTACGTAATTCGAAGGGTGCAGGATTGGTCTGAACAGAAAAAAGCTAATCTTCATTTAGCTCTATTGGACTTCCAAAAAGCATTTGACAAAGTTCAGCCCAAGAAGCTGCAAGAGGCCATGGTCAGGTTAGGTTTTACTAGCAAGTTCGTCAAAGTGGTCGAAGACATTTATGCGAAACCTACATTCTATGTACAAGACCAATATGGTAAGTCTTCCACGAAGAAACAAACCACGGGTATCCGCCAAGGCTGTCCTTTGTCCCCATACTTGTTTTTTGCTAGTCATGACATGCGTAGACCACGACGTCCAGCGAACTTGCAGTGGTTATGCGCGGAACGCGAGAATCCCTAATTTAGATTATGACACCGTATATTATGCTGATGACACAATTCTCTTCTCCACCAGCCCCTGAGCGCTCAATGAACTCATTCTTCATGTAGAGCAATTTTCTAGCCAATATGGACTCATGTTCAATCGGGATAAATGTTGTGTCATGCATATGCAAGCAGCCGCCGACATTCACTTTTCTGACCAGGCTCCCTTGCCAAAGGCACAGGAAGCTGTCTACTTTGGAAGCTATTTAAATTACACCGTGAATATTCGTCATGAGGTTTCTCAACGTATTTAAGATGTACAACGCACTTGGTTGAAACTGCATGTATTTTGGAAAGACAAAGCGCCAATCGTAAATGGCAGCTTCTCATATATGATGCAGTGATTAGAAGTAGGCTCTTATACGGGCTCGAAGCAGTCCATCTCATGAAATCTTTAAGCCGAAAACTTAACGCTTTTCACCACAAAGGCTTGCGCAAGATCTTGGGCCTAGACTCTACGTATGTTAGCCGTGCAAACACCGATACAAGACTTTTTGAAGTTGCAACGCAAGCTGCTGGAAGGCCGATAGTTTCTTTCAGCCAAATGCTGGACGCCAGAAGAGTCAAACAAGCAGGACATATCCTCAGAGCTTTTAATTCAGATCCCCTCCGACAGATTAGCTATCAGCCCAATACTGCAGAGCCATTTGACATTGGACGCAGACGTGTAGGGCGACCCAGACAGCAATGGCTACATGAGGTCAACAGCTTGATCTTTTCACAGGTCTCCCGCAATACTTATGACAATTCAGACTATCAAAACGACCTCATTCTGCAACAAGCTCAGCTGCGAAATGTTTAAGTATATCCCATCCCAGCGCCGAAGCGCGAATCAATCTGCAACCGCAGTATGCGCATGGCTCTTGAAAAAAAACCTTAGAAAAGAAAAAAACACAGCAGACAACTCAAGTCGTTAAGTTTGGCTGGTGGTGTCCTCACATGTTTCAAGGTACTGCAAGGAACCAACATGGCGGCAAGGAGCATCGATTGCTTAGTTGAGAGTTACGCCGGTTGTCAAGATTCAGCATGCCGGGGCGGTCGGTACACTTGTCACTTGGGAGGGCCCCCCGTTCGCAGGACTTACGCACAACAGCCGCAGCCCCGGGGTGCCCCATCAACTTAGGAAAAGAAGTAAAGAAGGCTAATGTCCGCCCCCCCCCCCACCCCAAAAAAACATCTTTGTACTGCAGGCGCTCGCTTCTTTTGAGGGGCCACTCCCAGAACTTCCTCGGGATGATTCTTTCTCGTTTCTGGGGCAGGATCCGGCTGACTAGCACTAAGCTGCGGCCCCGGTCCCACCCCCAGTGCTCATTTCAAGTAAGCATCTCCATAGAAAGGCGATGCTCGAAGAAATCGTAGAAACTGCCTGTGTTTGAATGTATGTATGTGCGTGCGCGGCCGGCGTGTATATGCGTGCAGGACGGCGTGTGCATCATGTCTGTAATGAGTCCCACTTGCGAGCGGGTAGATGCAAAGCAGCCAAGAGATCAGCACTTCCAAATGGCTAGCATGGAACGTGGTATGCAACAAATCCTTGATTGAAAAAAACAAGTTTGGAACCCACCAACCTATCTGAGGTATGTTATCATTATCGTTATGGCTTTAAGATTATTATAGATTATTCTTGTTACTATTATTAGTAGTACTTACATACGATTATGTGTGAGTATTAACATTTGTGTTCTTGCTATGATATTGTTACCACTAGGCTGGGGAAATCGAGCTCTCGCGTGGAGCATTTTGCCATTAGTTGTCTCATTAATCTTATTGTTAGCGTTTCTCTCATTACAATTATTTCTATTGCTACTGACCTGGGAAAGTTGAACTCTCACATGGAGTGTCCTCACATTTTGCCTCCAAATTATGGAACGTCGGCACTCTTCTGCGCAAAAGCAAGCAATGGCGTGAGGAGTCCTGACATTTTTGCTAAAATAAAAGGAGCGTTCTGGCATTTTTGCTGAAAAGCAAGCTCCGGAGTGGAGCGTACTCACATTTTGCATCGACATTGAGCTTTTGCGTGAAGCGGGAAGGAAAACAAAGGGGAAAAAGAAAAAAACAGCGGGAAGGAAAACAACTCCGCCCTGCATAATGGGGATCCAAGCAGTCCCTACCCAGCCTCACATAGTTCGGGGTGATGAAGGAAGCTTCCTCTTTCATGAAGATCCTAGAACACCAGCTGGGGAAACGGACCCTTCCGGACAGGCTGGAACTGGTTCCAGGGCCCCTGACATGAGCGAAGGGGCAAGCATGGAGAGGCATGGGAGGCCGTACGAGCGTCTGCGCATGGGATTGGTGGATGGTGCGTCTCTGGCACCTGGATTTTCAGTCTGGGAGGAGTCAAAATGTGGAGCTGTCCATGCAAGCTGGTTTTGAAACCAGGGCGATCCATGCTCCAGATGCAGCTCAATGTAATGAGCTCCAAAGCTGGCGAAGCCTAGCATCTAAGGAAGCTTGGTTATGCCACGAGAAATCTGTGCATGCATTTACATGGCACCAAAAGCGTTCCGAGCGAAGATCGTCAAAACTCGACAGCTCCTGCAAGAAACCGCTTTGAAACCAAGGCATTCGCTGTGGTCATCTACGGCGTGGGCGCAGCTGCGGGCAGCACCTACGCCATTGTCGTAGCACCTTCAAAATTCAAGGTCTCTTGGCCCGTTGCGGATCCATAGCCATGCATGAAAGCCAGGGCTTACCCTCACAAGGTCTGCAAGCGTTGAGGCCTTCTGTGTTTTTGTTGAATGCAAGTTTTAGAAGTTACAAGGCGCAGAAGGCATTGGCACTGGGATGTCCTTGTTCAGGGCATTCAGACTCGGCGTTTGGTGTTGCGACCTGTTGGTTGGATTGTCGAACTGAATGAGCAAGCACGTTCATGTTTTCGCTGCGGCCCGTGGCTTTTCTCCCTTTGCTTTGGGGGGTTCAGGTCTAGGACTTGCGTGCTGGGTCCAGCAATTCAGGATTGCTTCTGATGTGACAGTTTACTCAACCTGCTTAATATGATTGTTGTGGACAGTCCTGCGCAATACTCTGCATGTTCGTTTGCACCGCACAGCTCTTTCACATCACCATTGAAAGCGAAAGAATCCAAAAGGTACATTTCTTATCTAAGCCGAAGCTGTTCAGAAGATTGTGCTACTAGTCAGAAGAAGCTGATAGCATCTAACAGTATTTTCCAGCTTGTGTATAACACGAACCAGGGGAAGACAATGGTTGAAGGCAATGTCATCAAGATTAATGTGTAGTAGCTAGCTTGCAGCAGGTAGGCCGTGCCTAGTGTCTGTTACTTGAACACATGAAAAACCCAGCCATTAGTACTTGGTTGCAATGGTTGAGTATAAGGACGGATCAAAATCGGCGACGAGTTGGCAAACCTCTGACCTGAAAGTGCATCCGAACTGCCTGCAGCCTAGGACGTGGGCTTCCGTATGCGATGGAAGTGCTTGTTCCTGCAAGTACGCCCATCGGTCTACTGGTGGGTCATCATTTCCATTCTGAAGGTGCGGTATTGGATGCTTCAGCTGGGACTGGTCTGACTGCCGCGAGTCTGTTGCAAGCACTGTGAAGGGTCTTGATCAGCCGTGAGTTCCTCTGACGACTCTTGGAAACGGACACTGCGGGCTGCCCCAGTTTACAGCTAAAAGATTTCAGACTGCTCCTTAACAGCTTGGGCATTACAAATCGCGTCATATGAACTAATCAGTAGTCAAAAATTTTGATCATGATCATGATGATCTGCAGCTTAGCAGCTTACGTGAGTCATTCGTTATCGCTAGCTGCTTGAGTACATTTCCGTCCCACCAAGATAACAGGGTCCTTTATCCGCAGGGGTTGTTTCTCTCCCTCACGACCGTGATTTTCGATTCGCCTATGGCGCAGACAGTCTATCTTGGCACAGGCGCACACCTTTTTCTTTCATCGGGGGGATAAGACAAGGGTCGAGGGTTTGGCTCCGGAGGTTGCTGAGTAAGCACTAAGCAAGAGGAAGCAGCCATATGTTCGAGGCCGGGCGGGTCTCCGTTTTCTAAGCTTGCATGCCTGCTATGCAAGCGTCAATGAAAGCGGTTGTGCTGAATCAGAAGTCGTCTTTTTCCAGTGATCCATGAAGAACGAGCTTGCAACCCAAACCGCCTGCTAAGTTGGATATAAGTGACGATGGTTGTGAACTGCTGCGTGAAGGGGGTAGATTGGATTGCAAGGCTGCTGAGTAAATGGATGATGGTGGCCTCGCCTAGGTAGCTGCCTGGCCAATCTCCTATGCATTTGACAGGTCTACTCGTGTACTTCCTGGCCGTGTTCTGGTTCCTGCCCTGGCGTACGTCCACGCAACTTGCCAATGAGAGTTCAGGTGTCAAAGCTTTAGCCGCTTTAAATTTAGCTGAACGAATGTGAAAGATCCATCGCCCAACCAGGACCTTGAGGTTTGGAGCTATGGATTCCATTGCTAATAGAATCTGTGCAAGATTTTGGGTGCAGTGCTCCCTGTGCTTTGCATGCTGCGTGCTGACATGTGCAGGGTCAACCGCTCCCAAGGCTGCTTTGCCTCGACGTATTGCTCCACTACGTGTTGGCAGCTTCCGGCCTCAAGCTGATTGCAGAGCAGGATTCAGGATGTTGGGTTCCCCATCATTTGCATCCTGTTTCTGTTGAAGAGCCCGCTGTTTGCAGGGGCTAAGGAATCACGGTCCAGGTATGGTGGAGCATGTGGCATGCCATGAGCCTGCATTTCAGTATTTTGACTCTCTGTGCCAGCCAGTTCCCAGTGGGATAGATGATCGACTCATGTAACTCAAGGATGATTAGCCGTGAGATTGTCAGTTCAAAATGTTATGTCGGACCGCGTTGGTTTTTGGGAGCGATACTTTCAATGGCTGAGGTCCTTTGCCTCCTCATGCCCTTTTTCGTGCCGGCCTCGGCGACAGAACTTCAGGATGTGGCGCTTCTGTTCCTGGTACACCTGCCGCATTTGACGGAGTTCTTGTTGGTATTAGCATAGATTTTCAAAAGCCACTGACAATCTGCTTCGGAAAGTTTGAAGTTCAGTTTCTTGCAGGGGAAGATTGTTGGCTTGCATGCAACGATGTAGGTGATGACCTTCTTGGAATCGCAGGAATTAATCATGTCTGAGGTTCACCGCTTCTGTCAGATAGTAGCACTAAACGGTACAGAGACTCCTGCCTCAAGTCTGCAAGAGGTTGCAAGCCGTGCAAGGACACTCTTGTCGTGAAGGTATGCAGCAGGACACACATACGCTTTCCCACAGCACGGGCTACTCATGCCGCCTGTCTCAGGCTCTTGACCTTACATTGTAGTCCTGATGTCAATGTTCATGCAAACAAGCTGAGCACAACTGTCTACGGAGTGCAGACGGTGCTGCTGGCTTGCGCTCAGAATAAAATGAGCCTGCTTACGTGATGTTTGGAAAGTCTGTCAACATAACGCATCCGAGAGGTGGATCTGCAAGCAAACGGACGGGGGAAATCAGAAGTCTCTGACTTCCAGTTTTCGAATGCCATGGTACCAGCCATGCAGGGATCAACCCCTCCACCCCAAGAACCAGCAGTCTCTCCGGCCAGCTGGTGAGCTTCATTGGTGCCATCTACGCCTGCGGCTGTGTGCTTGGCGTCCTGCGTACGCAGTCACCCAATGCCCAAAGGGCATGGAGGCCGCAGTCTGTTGAGACAATGTAGACCATGTTTTCAGGAAGAAAGAATACCCCTCTACATCTTATAGCATGGGCCGGGGCGTTTGCCGGTCAAGTTGCAGTTTGGCAAGAGATCAGGTGAACATCCTCCAATGTTTCCACATTTCGATCGCTGAGACGTTAATGGTTTGAGAAAGGCGACGTGAAAAACTCGTTGCGCAGCAGCGCATGTTCTTTTGCAGGACGACAATCTCAGCAACACCACCACGTAGCAATCATTGCGCTAATTTTGCAAACAAGGAACATAGACGCAGCGATTCAAAAGCCCCACAGCATTCCGAGCAGTCACTCGGCACGATGCTCAGCCCCCCAAAACATGAGAATGCACTTAGGCCCCATGTTGATTCACATTCAACAAAGCAAACCTGATATATGCTGCAAACACCCGGCTTTGGGCTACGGAAATTTTGCAGCCCTGTCTCCGGAGGCTGACCTACGAGAAGGACGCGCGGAAGTTCGTGCAGGTCTTCCAGGTCGGGATGGCTGACAGAAGCAGGCGTAATTTTTCAGGCCAACATTGAACATCTTTGCTTCCACAGCAAACTGCTGCCAAACTGTTGCCGGAGGGACGGTACCCAGCAGGTGATGAACGATGAGAAGGTCATGAAGGATGTCTTAGACGGACTTGGAGACGTAGACCTCGCACCTCGGCTTTTGCACGTGAACCTCTTACCAGGATCAAGGGGAAAGTGTTTTTGTACTGCTTCCTGAGAGGTAGCTCTTTGCTATAGGCGCTTACAGGGCAAAGACAAACACGCCGAAATCTCGGCATCTGAAGCGCTGAAATTTTGAAGTCTATCTAGTGTAACGTCAGGCAAGCATGACGCTCACAATCTCACACTGTTTCAGTAGTAGGGCATGTTCAGCAAGCAAGCCCCAACAGCCCAGTAATGCCCTGGATACATGGGTCTAGAGTCTAGACATGGGCAGAGATTTTCTAGTGGCATCTAGGATCTGAAGTGCATCCTGCCAAAACTCGTTGACTGCATCCCAGTCGACGTCCATCTCTGTGATGAAGCTCCTCAGTGCCGCAAGCTCAGGGCAATTACAGCACCGCCTCACAAATTTGCTGAGCAGGTTACAGCTGCAGTAGCTAGGATCCATGGTCTGGGAATGTGGGAATAGAGCGTTGTTATTAACTGTCATAAGTTGGAGTGGCTGTTTGCTCCAGGCCGCACTGAAATCATGGTGATCCAGCTAGCGCCCGCTAGACTTTCGCACGCTTTAGTGCTTCACCTGTCCGAGCGCAACATCTGCGCTTCACGCACCTCGATGTACCTCACACATGTCACGGCTCAAGAACGCCCGAATGTCTGTCTCAGCGTTTGCTGCGGTTCCCAAGGTGGAGCTTCTGGGCAACCGCGAGACAGGCCGACTGATCTGGAGGCCGGTGTCCCAGTTTCGGTGGGGAGTAGTCCAGCCACAGGCCATGTTTTTTCCCCACATCTAGTGTGGGGTTCTAATTATTTCGATGTGCGTCGCCCGGCACCCGCAGCGTGCTCTTCCGTCACGCAAACATTTTGGACGCAAAGGTGTGAAGTGATAAATTGCGCTCTCGCTCAAGACGTCTTCACTTCGGCGAATCTTACGATGTCGTGTCTGGGAGGCCAGGTTGCCTTTCGTCTTGCTAGGGGGGTCGCGAAACGAACTGGACGATCCCCTGGCTTTCACTAAAATCATCAAAAATCGCGCTCTGCCTCGAGAAGTCTTCAAAATTTCGTTGATTTTTTTAAAACTTTTTTTGACGTTATGAAAACATCAGAACTGCGCACTTTATTCGGACAGTCGGCCTATTTTGAGCCTCTGCTCACTTTTTGTTATCTTGAAGCTATTTTCAAAAATCGCGCTCTCGCTCGAGACGTCCTCGAAATTTCTTTTTCAAAACGATCAAAATTGGAGCGTCTTCAACACTTTGATGATGTCTTAAAAAATCGCGTTCCCGCTCGAGACGTCCTCAAAATTTTGTCGATTTATCTCCTCAAGGGTGAGGTTCTTGGGGGGTCGTTTTAGTATAGGCCTAGTATAGGATTCCTTGGCTTCGTTCTTCGTGTGTTTGATCGTTTAAGGAAAGATTCTATACTAATTCTATACTAAACTGTTTCGCTCAAGATCGTTCTCTCTCAACCAAAATCGCGGTCCCGAGCGGAGCGTCTTGAAATTTTTGGTGAATCGATCTTCAAAAATCGCGCTCTCGCTCGAGACATCCTCGAAATTTGTCGTTCTGCTTTGATTAAGATCGCGCTCCCGTGCGGAGCGTCCTGAAACTTTTGATAAGTTGATTTTTTAAAATCGCGCTCCCGCTCGAGACGTCCTCGAAATTTCGTCGATTCATCTTATCAAGGGTGATTTTCTTGAGGGCATGTTTTAGTATAGGCCTGATGATTATAGGATTCGCCGGATTTCTCGTTAAGATTTTGATTTTCCAAGGAAATATTTCTATACCAATTCTATACTAAACTGATCCGCTCCAGATAGTTCTCTTATGATCAAACCGTGCGGAGCGTCTTGAACATTTTGAGAAAAATGAGCTTCCTGAAAATTTTGAGAAAAAGCCAAGTGTGAGAGATGCTTGGCTTTCTGGCTTCATCATGGCGCGGATCTCAATCGTGGCCCAGCGGATCATCCGGATTTGGAGTGGGCTCGCGCTTCGCACGCTAGTCCGGAAATTTTGCGTTTGTTGACGCCTTCAGTATGGCCTTCCTTGCGGCCGCGTGCCTTCTGTGCGGGGGTGGAGCTG